TATCTATAGATATGATAGAAATATAATTTTAATGCTAGCATAATTTTGAAATTATGAGTTATTAATACTAATATAATTCTCAATTTAAGAGTTATTACTTTTTTGAAGCAAGTTTTGATTAAATATAACTATTAAGGGTGTTTTATATAATAAAAACCAAAATAAACTTATCTCCAAATAAATTTTTTGAGTGTACTTAAATCCAAATAAATCAGTTCTGCGATGCTACTCGATGCGTAGGTCCATATATCCTAATTGATCAACAGTGGGAAAACAGTGTTCCCTTGGCAATTTTGTACTTTCCCTAACATCTATGTTCTGGATACAGAGGTTGTCAGGCCCAGAATGAAATTCTGGGTTTATCCAATTTCCTTTGCTGGGCTCAAAGACTCAACCAGTTGTCCAGGCCCACAAAGGAATAGAGAGGTGTTGGGTAACTTTACTAAAAACCTATTTCTCAGACCCAGACATTTTTTCCTGGGCTGTGGGGCATGACCAGAAGTCAGAATAATTTTTACCAAATCGTTTTTCAGAAAAATTCTCATTAAAATGTCACAGTTAGTGTAAATTAGAGACATTTCAGTATAAAATAAATGATAATACTAGTCAAAAAACTTTGGTATATAAGATCCGTTTATGTATATTGAATTTAAACTTAATATGCCGCATATTATTTAATTTATTTTTCTAATAAGCATATGAAATGGGTAGTATGGCTCTCGCACTAACTTCCGGTTAATGTTTCCATCAAATTCCCCTATATCACATGCAGCAGGATTTGACAGAAAAAACAATAGAACACCACTTTATGATATTGAGGGTGTAATATAAGAAATTTAATCTTTGAGGATACAAATTAAAAAATTAAAAACTTTTAGGGTATAAAAGTGCAATTCTCTCAAGAACTTGGGCAAACATGATGACCGTTAAAACACGTTTGGAATCATAACCTTTGTTCCTCACTAATCAAAACAATTATGAATAATTATCTGCCATCCAAATAACTTTTTTCACACCTGCCAATTTGCAGTTCAACCGAAAGCGTGATTCAAAAGTAAGAAAGAGATTATTATGGCTATGCTTTAGCAATTGTGCAGTGTTCGTAAAACAGCATGATACACAAAGAACATCAAAATTAGTGGATGTCAGACTCAGAAGAAGTGTGCTATTTTTTTTTAACATCTTCATGCAGAGAGTAATTTAATCACTGCAAATGAGATAATTAGAGCATCTTTTATTATATACATAATGCCCTGAACCACTGAGACTGGTAGAGGGATCCAGGTTGGTCTTATAGCTGGCTTACCTGACGAGAAGCTTGTTGGAAAATACAATTGATTTTTGTGTTTGACGAGAAGCTTGTTGGAAAATACACTTGATTTTAGAGTTTTTATTATATTATGAAAGTGTCTTAATAACAATAGTTGGTGGGTCATCCATATGCAAATAGAAGACAAAAGTAATTGTGGTGTGTGAATTCTCTGAGTAATGGAGATAGTGGTGTCTTTATATTTTAGGGGTTATAAGAGTTAGTGGGGATAGTGGTGTGTTAATGTAATGTTATGTGACTATATAAATAGGCATGTCACCTTGTGTTAATTAATTTGTACGAAAATTATTTTTTTATTGAGTGTTCATATTCTCCTCTATTTCTTCCATTTTATTTCTAGCTCATTTGATCGTTACGGTTACAATTATGATGATTATGAGAAGTTGATGTTCTCTAATTATAAGAGAATGAATACTCTTCTTTCTTATCTCAAAGCATGTGATTTAAGAAAAGTCCAGGACTGACTTGCTTAGAAGAATTCAAGAGAAAAAAGAGAAAAATACACTTAGAGTTCTTAAGAAGGTAATTCATCCTGAGATTTGAAAGTTTTATCATACATCACAAGGATTATCATGATAGATCAAACTATTAACCATAGTTTTATCAATGGAAGATCCACGATAAAACCATGTCATTGCAACACTCGCACAATTGAGTTTTTGCCAACGAAGAAGTTGGCCTGCTAAGGGTACCGTTGATGAAACCCAGATATTTTTGGCATCTTCTTGGCCCTCTTCCAAGTGGAATAATTGTCGTCGTTGTGAGGATTCAAGACTAAAATTGCATTTGGGCGACGCATAGGGATGTCGGAATGACGGAAGAAGAGACCCCGGAGGAGAGGTGGCTAATGGGTCATATATGGTGGAATATGACAAAACCGACTATTGCTCTGATACCATGTCAAGAATATGAAAGAAAAAGACAAAGTTGTTGGATTTTTTTGTAATTGTATTGACAAGATACGGCCGTATTTATACACGAAGAAGGATACAAAAATCCCCATTTCAAAGCCTAAATAAAAAATCTAGGTTAAGTCTAAAATTCCTAGACTAAAGGACACATGAATGTCCTATTGTTGTGAGGCTGGATTAGCTGGTCAGAATTCTATACATGGAAGGTAAATATATGACTAATAGTTTTGGTGGACCTAACATATCTCTTCTTCAAGAGATTAAATTCAACTTGGGTTACAACTCACCTTGGGTTTATAATTGAACTCTGCAAAGATGCATCTTTCTTTTCTTGCTTCTGAGCCTCTTCTCAGCATCTATTATTACTTTCTTTTGTCATTTTGGAATATATTTCTTCTGTTTCATCCTCATGTGGTAGGAAGAAAAAAAAAACACAGACAATAGGGTTCGGTCAATGGTGCAACTTTCAATCTAAAGATACGGCTGTGATATCAAAAATTTAATTTTTTCTTTTCACAACGAAAAATAGTGCTCAACTAGTAATCTTTGGTTTTGGGCTGAGGTGGCAATCGTGTCGTATGAGGTTATCTTCGTGTCGGGTTATTTTGGATTTATGTCAAGCACTGGTCAACTCTAACCCAACTCGTTTACTAATTGTGTTGTAGTTTATCGACCTATTTCTTTTCGTCTCGTATTCGTGTTGTCTAAAGTTTTATTATCACTTAATCGAACCTATACTCATACTTTTTCTATAAACCTAAAATTAACTTAATAAATATAATAATAAAAATGAGTAAAAATATCTTTTTTTGTACAAGAATTAAGTCACTACTTACTAAAATATAATAAAACATTGAAATTTTATTCTTATAATACTACTTAAACATGTTAATCGTTTCAATTTCATGTTGTTTGTCTTTGACACTAACCCAACTTATTCATTATTCGTGTTAATTGGGTCGTGATATATACGAGTTCGTAATGAGAAATATTCAACCTTAACTCGCTAATTTCGTGTCGATTTTGAGTCATGTTATGTCAAAAATTATCTCTTCTAATTTTGGTTTATTTAGAACCCTACGATTTTTAATTTAATACCAGGACGAAGACGATGACTCACTCAATGTAATGACTCGTTCTCAAAGCATTCTTTTGATAAGTAGGTGAAAAAGGACAACAAAATTCCTTGTAAAAAATTAAACGAAGGGGAGGGGGGGCATGTATATGTTTGTCCAGCAGTATCATTTGACAAGTTAAGCAGCCCAAGAATTGAATTACTTCAACTCTATCACATTGATGCTCAATGATTTATGTTTTTAGAGGAATATCCTCCGCCGTCAGAAGCAAAGGCTATTGAAGAAGACACCGATTATTTGTTGGCTTAAACTTTAATTTTAGTTTGTGCATGGCTTTTCTGTTTTTAACTTTTTTTGGTGACCTAGCAGGCATCTGAAAATTGGTTGGAGAGTAAATCGTCAATGTGACGTCAAATTACTATTATATTGAATATTTTCTCGGAGGTTGGAGTGGTGGGAGTAACAATACCAAGTCAGATGTTTTACATCCCAAAAGGCTATCAGTTGTAAAAATGAAAAGGTGGAGGCTTCATAAAATTATTTGTGTAAGATGGTAGATAATTGAATTAGACTTTACTAGTTCAAGCTGAGTCGAGTTCGTTTTTTTAAATGAATCTAAAAAATTATTAACTAGTCGAATCCAAAGCAAGCAGAACTCAAATCGAACCCTAATAACTCGATTATTTTACGTATAAACGAATTAAAGAGTTTAAACTCAAGTCAAGTCTGAGTAACTTAAGTCGATTATCGGCCATATTTGCAAGGTGAATTATTTCAAGCTATTATTGTGTGGCATGATCTATACTTTACTGTAGGGAATGAAACTTTTTCTACTATTCTACTATCATATGTCTAAACAGTTCTCTGTGAGGAAATCAAATTTATACATTCTCTGATAGTTTTAGAAACTAAGAGTAAACCCTTCAAATCACGACTGAACATTAAACTTATTGAACAAAATTGGAATGGTTCAAGATTATATCAGCCGCCTTGTGATCCCATGTGTCCTTATTTGGAAGACATGTGTTGTCGTTGATTTAGACATAAAATTGGATGGGAATAACATATTTATGTGTATTAAATTTTTTGGCCATAATTTATTAGCCTAATGACACATTGAGTTGCAATAACATGTCAGTTCCCACACAACTAATCTTGGATGGGACCAGACTTGTTTCGATGCGGTCAAGGCCTTATAATCTCATTGGTGAGAGCCTAACAACGTGATCGTTGAGCGTTTTTTCTTGTTTTAAACTCAATTTTTTAATATTGAAAAAAAAAATTAGGCAATCGAACAATGTTATTGTGACTTAATTTATTATGACATTTAAATTGATTGTAGGTCCTATTAAACATTAAAATTTAATTAATTCAATAATTTTAATAAAATAATATTATTAAACCAACAAATTAAGTTAAAATTTTAATTTCAAATAGTATTTCTCATCGACAGTCTAACTAAAATTACCGGTTGATCTAATGACCGCTACCGTTCTTTGTTGGACAACTAGATCCAAGGTTCCAACCTCGTCCTCCCGTGACAGACAGAAAAAATGGACCACCCTTGTCTCCTTCACTCGTCTGTACGTTTACAATTCGGTTGCTGTATGTGGCATTCAGTCGCACAACACGCCTATATAAACACACTTTGTCATCTCTCTTTCTCACTCTCTCGGTATATAACTACACCCTACATACCTGCTTCTCTCTCTCTCTCTCTACCAAAGGAAAGGAGCCATGGCTTTCCCATCGGGTCACCCTGACTTTGTCTTCCCAAACCTACTCCTCCAAGTGCTCAAACTCTTGGGTTTCATCCAAAAACTTATTTCCATCATCTTCTTCCCTACATTTGGTCTCAGCTATTTCCGCGAACCCGACACAACAATCCCTTCTGTATGTACATCGGAACTCCATTCTGTATCCGCAGTCCTGATCCGAGAACTCTTACCCGTCGTGAAATTCTCCGACCTTATCTACCCGCCGGAGAGCTGTTCGGTGTGTTTGCACAAATTCTGTGGCAGTGATGAGATCCGACAGCTGATAAACTGTAAGCACATATTCCATCGAAGCTGCCTGGACCGTTGGATGGACCACAATCAGACGACTTGTCCTCTTTGTAGGACGTCGTTTATCCCGGACGACATGCAGGAGGCTTTTAACGAGAGGCTTTGGGCCGCTTCTGAGGTTTCCGACGAGTACAAATCCATTATTGCTCTGTAGGTGGTCTGGTCTATTCGCAAAGTGGACTGAAGAAGACACCAAAAATAGAAAAAGTGGTAAATGGACTGAAAAAGTGGAATTCATTAGTCTTTAAATATATCTTTTATCAGTAATTGGTTGGTGACATGACACCACATGACGGTGGAATCACCATTCCATTTGACGGATATGTTTGTGGATATATATATATAATAAAAATATCTGAAAAAACATAAAGGGAAATGAACATTTTGCATAGTTTTTTTTGGTTTGTTAATGTATTTTATCACAATTTGTCTTCATGTCTAGCAATTCGATCCAGACATGATTTGTAAGGGTAAAACATGTTATCACTGAAGTGATTTAACTTCCCACAGGCTGTAATCTTAGCCTCACCAAAGGTTGTCCTTCACCAAATTTTTGTTAGGTATAACAATAAGTGTGTGTGTGTGTGAGAGAGAGAGAGAGAGATGATTGATTTGTGAATGGCACCCTCACAAATATGCAAAATTGACAACATGATGAGGCCAGGCACCAAACATCACTCACTAGCCATGCCTAACCTGTTCTTTTTCATGGGACCATGGGGTTCTAAAGGGATGATTGATTGGTGTTCTTTTACGTTTATTCGTTTCTTTTTGATGTTTTAGCCTGCCATGTGGTCTTCTAAAGGGATGACTAATTGAACCAATGGTCCCCCTTGAGACCATAGGACAAAACAATTCAAATGTGCTGCTTTTTTTTTTTTTTTGGTCCCACTATGTTTATTCTTAATAAAGTTTGTCACTTCTATTTAAACTTAATTTTTTCTGATATGAATTGTTTTCATCAAAATTTCTCTTGGTAACGCGTTAACAAATAAATTACCAAGGACTATGACAAAATGTAAAATACGTTTCTCAGTATTTTTGCCTAAAAGGTCCCTAGCTATCGGTTTAGTAAGCCAAGCTCAGCTAAAAATTTCAACCAAACACGTTCTATATTTTACCTTTTTATAACATAAATAAATAAAAATTAATTTTGTTTTTATTTTTTCAAAAATGTTACTAAACGCATCCTGTGGCTTGGAGCGGAGATGGGTGAGGTTAGGTAAAGGCATAGAGTCTATGTATTTGGTCTCAATGTTTGGAGAAACGTTTGTCAATGCTATATAAAAATAATTTTTAACCTTTTGTTGTACGACTAATTTTAAAAAGCTCGAGCTCTTGATGTATCAATACATAAAACAAGAGATATTTTATCCTAGCAACCCTTGCCACCAACTTCCTGTATTTCGGAATCCAAAGAAAGAAACACAAAACTCATTTGCATATGCTACCTCTTGTAGCTGAAACATTTCCACCACTACTTACTTGCCATGGGGCGTTTCGGCTTAATTGTACCAATTAAGCCGCCCCGAATCTTCATTGTATAATGTTGTTGGTTTTGAATTAGGCCAGTACGACTTAAAATATGTTGTACAATGAAGGTCCAAAATTCATACTTACGTACCATTATAATGTACGCCCTTATGGCTAAATGTCTTTTTTTGGACCTACCTCGACCAAGGTACTGTGGGCTAGACCCGGGTGCACCTAGGGAGAAAATGTTTATTACAATGGTAATACTGCATAATAATATGATGTGGTATTATCAACCAATAATATTAAAACAAATAAGCAAATGAACCCCACAATTTATAACCAACCTACCATGTAATAAAATACAGTAATACTAGTTGAATTTAAAATTTTGATTTAATTTGCTGACATAATAATATGACTTTATAGGAATTATTGAATCAACACCAAGTTCCAATATTTGATGAGATTTATTTTCAATCCAAATATCATACTGAATTAAGTCAACAAATTATGTCAGTAAATTAAGTTCAATAACATTGCTTAATAAAGTAACTCTCCGCTCTTCCTCCATGTAATCTCAAGTAAGATTCATCTTACTCACTTAAAGTTTTATTATTGATTGGTGATACCATATCACCAATACATTTAATATTTACTCGCACCAAAGGATTTATAAACTTAGGTGGCCTACACATCACAAAAGTCAATGGCTCCCATACCATATGATGTAGGACAACATTTAAAAACATGAGTATAAGAAAGGGGTCAAGAAACAGAACAAAACGTAACAGTTGATTTGCGCTTTCTTTAGGCATGTTTGATCTGATTATTCCTAATAATAACAAAAAAAATAGAATAAGTGTGAAAATCTTCCCAGTAATTTTATTTCATCAAAACCCGCTTTGCCCTAAAGGTTATCGAAGTTTATTTAATAGTAAAAACTCTAAATCAATTGGGAAAATAGAATCCTAATCAAATTAAAAAACTAAATAAAATAAAATTCTAATTGAACAAGAAAATAAAATAAAATAATTTTCTAATTAAATTATAAAATAAATAAAAAAAACTCATAATTATCTAATTAACTTAATTAGAAAATAATTAGCTCGATTAAATTGCATTGATTACTTTATCCTGAATTCTCGTCTTTTATTTTGTATCAACTAAATAGGAATCTAATCAAATGTAGTTATTAAATTAATTGTGAGTTACAATGTTATATTGAACTCACTTTCAATCTAACAGTTGTTATTAATTAAGTTTCTTAAATAGATTCTCAAATTAAATTCAAACAATATTTTCATTTAATAAAATCTCTTTTCAATCTAGGAAAATACTACCTTGCCCTAATTTGCTGATGAACGGTATTATATAAATTTAAAATGTTGACTTGATCGATTAATGTCATTGATTTAACTATAAATTTTTGCATTTATTAGAACTCACTAACTATTATATTGTTGTAATTTATCAAGTCAGTATTTTAAATCTAAATATTCCCTCACTAACTAGCATTTTTTTTGTTCCATAATATCTGTCATTTTATGAAACCAAAGCATAATTAATGTTTTTTCTTTCAAATTTACCCTTATCTCTGTTTTTCAATAAATGCTTAATATATTAAGTGTATGTTAAGTGCCTTTTACATTCATTTCCTTCTCAATACGTATTAAATAAGGGTATTTTAGTCTTGTGTAATTATTTTTTACTCATATTAGAGTTATTTAATAACTTCCTTAATTTTTGTACAAAAATCTTAAACGACAGATATTTAGAAACGAATGGAATAATATTTTCTTTTGCTGATCTAATGTATTTAGTGTATATTAGTAGCGTGTCTCAACAAATAGTGGAGTTTATTGTCAATTCAATGACCATAAATAATTAAATTAGTAAATGAAGTAAATAAATTAAGTCCAAATATAAAATTGCTCATCAATTTCTAATCTATTTAGCCCATATAGGTAACATTAAAATTCTAATTTTTGGCCTAATTTTGATTAAAAAATTTGCATCAAAATCTACGCATGGGCCGAAGATGCCATTGGACGGCTTTCTCTACTTCTTCTACTTACAAAACCAAACCTCACTCTTCTTTACGGGTCGACCGCCATTCGGTTGCTGTAATAGTCACCTCTCTCCCTCTCTCTCCCTCCCTCCCAAAGGAGCCATGGGCATCCCCGCAGGGCACCCTGACTTCGTCGTCCCAGAACTACTCGTCCAAGTGCTCACAGTCTTGGGTTTCATCGGAAAACCTATTTCCTTCTTCTCCTTCCCCACACTTGGTTTCAGCTATTTCCTCGAACCCGATACAGCATTCCCTATCCGACCAGAATTCGAATCGGAGCTCCATTCTATCTCCGGCATCCTGATCAGGGAACTCTTACCCGTTGTGAAGTTCTCCGACCTTATCGACCCACCGGAGACCTGTGCTGTGTGCTTGTGCAAGTTTTCCGGTACCGACAAGATCCGACGGCTAATAAATTGTCAGCACATATTCCATCGTAGCTGCCTGGACCGTTGGATGGACCACGATCAGAAGACGTGTCCTCTTTGTAGGACGACGTTTATCCCGGACTGTATGCAGGCAGTTTTTAATGAGAGGATTCGGGCTGCTTCTCGGATTTCTGATATCTAGGGCCAAACTATTCAATTTTCTGGCCGTTGAACATAATAAAAATAAATTAAGTGAATCTCGTGTATATAAATAAATACTAAATTGTTTGAAATTTATTTGCTCGTCTATTATTTTATTATTAGGTATAATCCGTATTTGAAGACATGATATAATGTGATTAATTTTGAGAAAGATGTCGGTGACCGTCATATATAAATTTATTTGAGACCGTCGAATGAATTTATTAAAGTCATAAAAGAAAAGTAGAGGGAAAAGAAAAATATTTTTTACGGTATTTTTGGGTTTGTTAATCATTTTTATTATGAGTGACCATTCGAAATGGAATTCATTAATTCAACACAATACCGGTTCATATGATAGTGTTTTTGTTGTGACGGTTCATATGATAGGATGATAGTGTTTATTATTAAGTTTTTGTTGTGACGATTTTGGGAGAATCCTTGTAAGTTGGTAATGAGTCCAAATTTTAGTATCGTGATAGATTATATAATGTGATGTTAGTGTAGCGTAGTGTCTAAGTTTTAAACAATTTGCAAGATATATAATCTCACCATGGCGTATTGTGTAATATTGTTTGATTTGGTTGACACTAATACAAGCCACTATTGTATTAGATAGGGGTGTACCAAAATGTGTATAAAATACTTACGTGGCACAACAATATCAATTTTGGACCAAGTTCGGAAGAGTTTAGAACCTATTACGCACTCTAACTTTTCAAACACTCCATGTATATTCCAAATGAAGAAGATTACGATGTAATAGTACATTATTTTGGATGAGGTGGACTATTTGAGCAACGTTTTATAGACTTAAAAAGTAAATTTGATAATTACAACTATTGATTTCATTGTGGGCTCCAGTATTTATAGGGATCCACTACCTATTCAATAGTTATAATTATCAAATTTATTTTTTAAGTTTATGTAGCATTTTCCGGATTATTTTGTGGTGGCCTTTCCAAACACATACCAGAGGGGCCTCTAAGTGGGGGAGGAGAGCTGGTCATGCTTTACTCTTCAACCTTGGCCAGGATTCACAAGTCATTCTCTTTTTGGCTCCTCTCAAAATCTTTCAAACATTATGGGTGGATCATCAATTACAATAACAATGAGTCATATTGTCACGCCGAGTAATTCATGCTGTACTAATTTTTTTTAAGCTCATATCCAATTCTTTTGTATTGGTCTTCATGCCATGTAAGGATTGCATAAATTTATAAGTCGTGTTTGATTAGATTCGTGTTAACCTATTCATTATACATTTCTGAAAAATTAATCTTTGTGTGATCTGAATCAAAACTAAACCCATCATGTACCCATCAAATTCATGTCAGTTTCATACTAAATTGACAGTTTGAATTATCAACCTTATTCATAAGGGTAGAACAAATCTTAATACTGATGTGTTTTAACTTAAACAGGCCGTAATCTATATGTCTCACCAAATATTGGACTTCACCAAATCTTTCATCATTATAACAATACCAGAGAGAGAGAGAGAGAGAAAGAGCAGAACTTTAGTGCAAACTATTCCAAAAAGTGTCCGATTGATATGTGAGTGGCCCCATAAAGATGCAAAATTGACACCATGATGGGACCATGGCACCAAAGATAACCCACTAGCCATGCCTACCCAGTTCTTTTTCATGGGGCCATGGGTTTGTCAAGGGATTAACGGTTTTCAAGGCATGATCTATTTCCATCCAACCAGTTTCTCGTGGTTATGTTTTGGTAGGTGACTTGCTATGACTTCTGGCAACATCTAGAATGTTTTTAAACTTCTACATTTAACAGTCACAAGTTTTTCGAGTAGTCTAAGTCTAAATGTCCTGTTAAAAACAAAAAAAAATGTGTAATATAACGTGGGAATTACCCAAAATAAATTCTATGGGCCATTTTGACAGACGGATTTCCTTTGACCCGAAGGTGCATACTAATTGTTTATTTAGATGCGACGAAGAGGAACATCGCATCTAATGAGAAACTAGATACAATGGTGCATGCACACCCAGCACACGGTCAAGGCATACACCAAATACATGCATGTGCTTCACAGATATGCTAAATGTCAACTAGCTTAATGTCAAATTAACTCGAATAGTAATAAGAATGAGTTATAAACTTAGATATTTTGATCAGTTCGAATTTTGACAATCTATTCGGGTCAAGTCATGAAAAATTTATTTATTCTAGTCCCAACATAGATAGTCTTTTTTTTATTGGACCGTGAATCTTTTGTCAAATGTTTTTGCAAAAATCCAACTTAATAAGCTAATCGGTGAGCAAAAATGAGTGTGTTGGAGTGGTTAAATAGTGATGTACATTCGACTATGGTTTTGAATTGAAATTTCACCTGCCAAACACCAATTATCTTATCCTTGGAATCTAGAAATAAACAGAGATATGAGGAAAGTAAACAGAGATACAAAAATGAGTTAGAACCTTAGACTTATTGTAATTAAGATGAACACTTTCTGCAACAAGTTCATAATTTGCAGGCCTAAAGGTTCTAAAATTGTCCAGCTCAAAGAAATTTTTTTTGCTAAAATGGCACATATTCATGAGCTGAATCACAAAGAACCTAATTATATAGAAGAGGACTAATCTCATTTTACGCCTTAAAAGATATTTCGATTAATCTCATAAAGTATGTTCATTGTCGCAAAATCTCATTTTATGAAGAAAGACTGAACGATAGTTTGGACAAGGTCGATATGACTACTAATTCATAATATTAAGAGTAAAATGTAAGATTTTTAATATTTAAGGTTTTAAATTGAGAATTAAAACTTCTTTTGGGTGCAAAGTGTGAAATTAATCTTACAAAAAATTAGAAATCCAAAAAAAAAAACCCAACCGCGTCACGTCTTTTCTCACTCCTCTATATAATGAGGCCTTACGAAAAATTACATTGCGAAGGGTGATACTCTCTCTCTCTCTCTCTCTCTCTCCCAAACCAGACCACTCGTTTTTCTGTTCAACACTCGGCTTCTGCATATTGCGTTCACACGCACAACAGTCACGTCTCTCTCTCTCTCTGTTGATATATACAATACATCTATCTCTACATTTTTTTCTTCTCTTTCTCTAACAAAGGGGTCATGGGATTCCCAGTTGGTTACGCGGATTTCTTCCTCCCAACATTACTGGTTCACGTGCTCTCACTTCTGGGTTTCATCAGAAAACGTATTTCCAAGCTGTTCGCAACTCTTGGTCTTGGCGATTTCCTCGAACCCGACACAGCAATCACTACCCAACCCGAATGCGCATCGGGCCGCCATTCTGTCTCCGCCGTCCTGATCCGAGAACTCTTACCCATTGTGAAGTTCTCCGACCTGATCGACCCACCGGAGAGCTGTGCGGTATGTTTGTGTGAATTTGACGGTAGCGATGAGATCCGACGGCTGACGAATTGCAGGCATATATTCCATCAGAGCTGCCTGGACCGTTGGATGGACCGCGATCAGAAGACGTGTCCGCTTTGTAGGACTCCATTAATCCCGGAAGATATGCAGGAGGTTTTCAACGAGAAGTTTTGGGCTGCTTGTGGGATTTCTGATTTTTACGGGGAGTACTCACTCGCCCATTAATGGATGTCCAAGTTTAAAATGGGCTGCTTTTTTGTTTCTCATAAATATTGGGGCGATGACCACCACAACATCACTGATACGTGATAGCGGTGATGGTGGTGATGTGATGGGTTGCAGAGTTGGGGATGGTTGGCTCTCATGTGTATATAATATAATGTAAACCCTATTTAAAATAAAAAATTTGAGGTAAAAAAAAATAAAAGAAAATTAGGTGGAGAAGAATAACACATTGCCTTCTCTTCTTGGGTTTTCTTTAAATGAATTTTGAGATTTGGGTCTCTTTGTTTTGTTTTTTTATGGTTGGAATTACGGTCTAAATAACAAAAATAAGATAACACTACACCGATCACGTTTTTATCAGTTAAAAAATTACTGTATAAAATATTAATTTTTCGATATCATATTTAAACTCTCATAATCTCAAGTTGAATTTTGTTAGTGAAAATAGAGTATAAGAATAGAATAGTTGTGCGTGCTAGATCTTGCACAATATAAAAACGAGAACAGATCTCTTCTTTGGTGAACTCGAGTGAGTCAGTTGAGTGGTCAACCACACTGCTTGGAATAGCCTGTGAGATCCGGTGGTAATCTGGAACAGTAATGGGAGACCCTCGCGGATCAAAGGAACGATCCAGTAAGGCTGAAGAAAGGTTCCTGGAGCAAAGAAGAACAAGTTAGAAGGGCGTCGGAGTGTTTTTCGGCGTATCCCCTCCGACGATCAAGTCAGTTTTTGAGAGAGAGAGGAAGAAGAAAACACTGAGTATATTTTGTAGCAAAAGTTTCACCCCTGGTTCTTGCCTTTAGCGAGGAGTATTTATACCTCAAATACTCATGATTGTTGTTAGTGTGGTCAGTAGGTGATCATTAGATACAGGCAACGTGCGCACTGATTTCTATGAGGAATGTCTTCTCTCTTAACTGCTCGGAACCCCGAACAATCAAGTCTATGTCATCGGCCTGCCGACGGTTCAATAAGCTCCTCTCGGGGAGGATGCAATAAATGCCCAGCCTTAGAGACATTTATTGTCTTTCACTTCTGAGCCTTACCACATTGAATGCAGTGTCATCAAGGGAATGGTGTAATTAAATGCTTGTTTTCCCAAGTCGCGTGTCAGCAAGGTCATGCAGTCTTTCTGTCTCTGATGTGACACAATATGCCACGCGTCCATTCCTCATTGGCTGTGGCCCTTGCCTTCCTGTGCCTTCTGACATCAATTGTGTAAGACGAGGTCATGATAGCTAACCTAGCCTAGCCTAGGCTAGTGACCAGTGCATCAATAACCTCTGCTGGAGCAGAGAACTTCATCATGGATGAAAGGGGAGTACATCTCGGTACCGAGGAAGAGGTACATCTCGGAACCGAGGAAGAGGTACATCTTGAATTCGAGAGGGGGGAGCCTAGCGACCGATGTACCATATTAGACCGAGGGTACGTGTCAGTACATAAAAACGTACTGGATGCGACTCGATCCCATGATAAATACCTCGGGGTAGAGGGGACTTGTGACCCCGATGGGTACGTGATCTCGATAAACAAGGATCAGTGATACCGAAGACACGTGTCTTCATCTTGGAGTATTCCGGAAATGTCTCATCAATAGTTATTACTAAATAACAAACAATTAAACTAGTGATAAAAATTCATTCTTACCACCAAAGTGTCTAATGTAATCAGTATAGAATTAATCATTCTTTTAATATATGGGGTTATTATATAGACCAAAACACCATTCCACCTCTAACTTCACCTCATCCCACATATGGATTGTGGTAGTGTTGGGATCTGAATTTTGGGTCTAGGATCCAAATTTGGTGTCAGATTGGGGTCCAAATTTGAATCGGGCTAGGTTTAAGTTAAGAGTTCGGGTTCAAGATCCAAGTTTAGGTTTGGAGTTGGGGTTGAGATTTAGAATCGAGTCTAAGTTCAAAGCTTAAAGTTTAAATCTCAGGTCAAGGTCGAGATTTGACAAAAGAGTTTATTTATCTAATTATAAATGTTAGCATATGTGAAAATAAAATTAATTTTTTATTTTACACTAATTATTATTATAAATTCAATTATATCCATATATTTACATTCATCTAATTTTTAGTTTTTATACATATTTGTCTTACAATTTCTTTTATTTATGCTCTAATATTATAATTTTTAATTTTTTTATATAAAAAATATCATAATATTATAATTTAATCAATCTCTTTGATAGAAAAAACGTAATAAATGTATAATATAAATAGATTAATTATTACTCGTACCTGAAGGCATGGAGTAATAAAAAAATAGTCAATATATTTGTATTAATATTTAAAATTAAATTACAAATATAAATGAGATAAAAAAATTTAAGTACCGATTATAGTAAGAGTAAGCGGTGGTAGTGATAGTAGTAATAGGCGATAGTGGTGAGGGTGGTGGTGGGCGACGATGAGTGATTCTAGGCGACAGTGTGATGGATGGTAGCGAATGGCAGCGATGGTAAGTGTGGTGAAGAGTAGGTGAGAGTGGGTGGCTGCAGTGGTGAGCGATGATAAATGATAATAGTTGGTGGTGGTAGGTGTGGAGGGGTAGGTGATGGTGATTGGTGGCGATAGTGGGCGACGATGAGTGGTGGTTGGTGCTGATGGTGGGCGACGGTGGCAGTGGAATGATGGTGATAATGATAATAAATATAAAAATAGATGACGATGATTAAACTTTCTGCAGATCAAGATTAATGTTTAACACTATATCCTTAGAAAAAAATTTGTTCCCACACATAATTTTTATGGAAATCAAAGCGTATGTCTCTCATGATACAATGATCTTTATGCGAATAAAAGTAACAATCTAATCTACTCGCCCAACAAATCAAAAATTGTGTTGTGTACCCTTAGAATACAAGCTACTAATGCTGAAAAATTGTATTGTGATGTGATGCTGATGCAGAATGAAGTGAATCTGGATCATTTATAGATAGAATGGTGATTGATCTAGGCTATCGCCATGTCGAACGGATGCAACTTGGAAGACTTGTAATTAGAAGACACCATTTGAATAACTGTTCATTTTTGAATAAACATTACTCAGAAATTTGGACCGGGGGAAAGAACAAATCCGAACCAGTATAAATTCAGATCCAATAGGTACCAAAATTAAATTATGGTTCAAAAATTTACACCCATTTCGTTAAATGAATTTTTTTCCAAAAAGATTAGACTTGATCTAACCCATATTTGAGCTCGACCCAATCGGACAACACACACGCGTGTGTGGTCAAACTGATAGCATATAGGCACTCGCTCCACTCTTAAAAGTGTGATATCCCTTGAGGCCTAATTCATGGAGCAAACTTTGCCTATATATGACCATGTAAAAATTTTTCTTCAACCAATGTGAATTTAATGTCAAATTTCATATTGCACAACCTCTATTTTTACATTTCAGAAGTGTCATTTTGAAGGCTATTTTTTCATTCATTTCTTACTAAATTTGAATAAGTTAATACACTACGTATTCTCTTCAAAGAATAGAATACGAACTCCTAAAAGTTTACTCAAAACAACAATCAGGTCCTACTTTAATTTATGCTAAAAATCAACTAAAAATTTAATTTTTACACTTAAAAAATTATTTTTGTCCAACAATTTAATCACTTGTCCCTGGTTGTTACAACATATCAAAATGATAATATATTTTTTATTTCATTCCCACCTCAATTCAATTTATACACTTCAGGATTTGACTATGATACCAAAAAAAAAAAAATTGGTATCATATCTTTATTCACCACGTTTGTAGTTACTTTTATTATATTTGTAGGTCTTTTTATTATTGTTGTTGTATCCTAAAAAATGGTAAAAATAATTAACACAACAGTGATAAAACTATTCACAAATATAAAAAAATACCTACAAATATAATAAAAACACCAACAAATGTAGTAAATTTTTTTTGTACCAAAGACAAGTGATAAAAATACTCACAAAAGTAATAAAATAAAATTATTATAAAATAACTCATAAAAATTATACAAACACTCATTAAAATAATAATAGTTGAAAATATGATATCAAATTTATTTCTTCGCTACCGTAATTAAGTCCAACACTTCCGCGTGAAGTATTCTGAGTGTTTTGTCCTTCAGCAATGCAGCTGGCTGGCCCCTGGTTTAAACTTAGCAGAGAAGGTGAAAGTTTACTACTTCTAGTTGTGTGACGTGTTGATGTTTACAACTGCTGGTGCAGTACGGATATGGTCATGAACTTTTTTCAATGTTTTTTTTTTTTCCTTCGTGATGGTGACCTAACGAGGTATGGGGCTTTGCATCTAACATTCCATGGACTTCCTCTTCAAGAGCTTATATCTTTTTTTTTTTTTTTGTGCAACAAACCCTTCTGGTCTAAAGACTAGGACTAGGTTGTCAAGTTTACTTTGAGCCAAAAAAAAAAACAACTAATGTGAGCTTTCCGCTAATTTAAAAACCGATTTATTATTTTTTAGTGATATCGATTTGAATAGATTCTTATCTAAATAATAATTAATTTTTAAATAATATTATTGAAATTTAATGTATTATGATATTAAACTAAAAAGTGAGTCTCATTGTTTAATAAATTTCACAAATTATTGAGTCTCCACTAATTAAATCTCAAATTAGGTGCAATTAACATTATTCTTAATTTTTAGATACGTTTTTGACATGTTTGAATAAGTTGTGAATAAATTAGGGTTATTTTTTAATTTATTTTAAAATTGTTGGGTTATTTTGTTATTATGTAAAAATGAATGTCATTATGTAATAAATTATGGAGTCATAAATGAAAGATTGATACTGTAATTTTATATATAAAAGAAATTATTGAAAAAATTGGTTTGTAATTATTTCAAATGATAAAATCATATCAGAATCAATTGTAAGTGACAATAATTGATTTCATTCTTAATAAAAAATTTTAATTATTTTTTCTTTGTTCATGATATGTATATTGATTTTTAACATTTTATGTTTAATAAATTTTTTAGTATTAAATATAATTTCAACAAATATGAATATATGAATTTATTTTGTAAATTGAAAAAAAAATTAAAACGTATTGTACCTACTCAAAAAAAAAAAATTCCTGAACCCACTCCTAAGTGCATGCAACCATGGAAAATGGCAGATGCATGCACCAAATATATGCATGTGCATGGAAGATATGGCAAATGCCGAGTGGATTATGAATATATTTGCCCCATGAATGAAAATGGCACTCCTTACCGTAATATATTCTTCTAAAATTATGTGTAATCTCGAATTTTTTAAACGGTTTTGCAGATTTATTTAAATATAAAAGAATTTTTTTTTTCTAGTTAAAATAATATCCATGTTTCTTATAGCAATGTAAAAACAGCTATGATAACTTGACTTCTCCTACATTCACTTGTCAAAACTTCTAGAAAAAACATCAATTTAGTAAAGTTGAATGGTATGTAAATTGGGTTTTTTCAAGTTGTTAAATAGTTTGTCTTCTTTCAACTTTGGTTTGAAAATGAAACTTCACCTACCAAATAAGGAATTTAATCTTCCATTTCATTGGGCGAATTGCACTTTGTATATCAAAAAATTGAAGAATTTTTACTTTACACTCTTAAAAATTAAATTTTTTACATTATACCTTCACTTTATTAAAACTGTTGTAACGTGACCCTTTTATTAGTTTTCGTTATTTATTCTGTCAACGTCAATAAAGTAATTTTTTATGAAATAAGCAACGAAAAAATTGCATTGTAATATTTTTAATACATTAAGGGCTTATTTGATCGTCGTATTGTAAAAAAATGAATTTTATTAGGTAATACTGACTAATTCTGTATAGGTGGATAAAATAAAAGTCTAAATGTGAGACACAAATATTACGCATTATAATCTAGTATTTAATAAGACATTGGATTAAGAATGGGATAATAAAATAACAATTATATATTAACTAAAAAATTGTCAATCATATATTGTTATTAATATTTTTGTTTCTCTATTGGGTAAAATAATAAATTTACAACTTCATGCGCTTGAATTGAATTATAATGTCACATTTCCATGTGGTATTATAATTAGCTTAATAGTACGGATACTATGTAATATTTATTTAAAAATTTGAAATAAGACTATATATAATACAAAGTGTTTTTTACAATCAAATATTGTATAAGATTGAGTTAAAGGGTCTTAATCTGTAATGATTCTTTAATTCACCATTTATTATTGTCAAAAAACGACCCCTAAATGTAGAATTCATCTAATATTTGTGATCGTAAGATAAAAAAAATTAAATCTTTCAGGTATAAAGTTAAATCTTTCAATTAGTACTAGTATCTTTTGAATTAGTGATTACAATTAAGGTGGGCATTCACTAAATCTCTCTTCGTTATCATAAGAGAGTTTAGATAATCACAATACCAGTACCAGTACCAGTACCCGTACCAGTGTCACTGTTTGTATTGCGTCTTTTTTGTGTCATCCTTTAAAAAGCTTAAAGCCCGTTTACGACATTCTACCCTCTCTCTCTCTCCTCTATATATTGCAGCCTGCCTTACACGCTTCTCCAACTCTCTCTCTCTCTCTCTCTCTCTAACATAAAACTTCACTCGTCTTCCGTTCGATACTCATTTTCTGCATATTGAATTCACACCCACAACACGCCTTCATATATATATACACACACAGTCATCTCTCTATTTCTCTCTCTACAGCTCTCTCTCACCCAAAAGCGATATGGGGTTTCCAGTTGGCTACATCGATGTATTCCTCCCAAAACTACTCGTCCACGTGCTCCCTCCTCTGGTTTTCATCAGAAAACTCATTGTTAAGCTCCTCGCCATTCTTGGTCTCAGCGATTTCACCGAACCCGACGACACTGCAATCTTTATCCGACCCGAATACGTATCGGAGCCCCATTCTGTCTCTGCAATCCTGATCCGGGAGCTCTTACCCGTGGTGAAGTTCTCGGACCTGATCGACCCGCCGGAGAGTTGCGCGGTATGTTTGTATGAATTTGACGGTGATGATGAGATCCGACGGCTGACGAATTGTCGGCACATATTCCATCGGAGCTGCCTGGACCGTTGGATGGACCACAATCAGGACACGTGTCCTCTTTGTAGGACGCCGTTTATACCGGACGATTTGCAGGAGGCTTTCAACGAGAGACTTTGGGCAGCTTCCGGGATCGGCGATTTCTACGGCTAATGCCCACCCATTCCTGCTGCTCTATACTTCTTATTGCGAATCCCCCATTACACATCTACTGGGTGGGTTAAAGAGTTGGGGGGTAATTGGCTGATTTGTATAAATTGTACATGATGTTAAAAAAATTGACAGAAAATAAAACAATCTTGCCTTTCATTATATTCTTTTATGATTGAAAACGATACAATTGTTAGAGTGTTATTGTACGAGGAAGACAACGAAGAATGGACAAGTTTTTATGTTTTATCAATCAATTTTTTTTTATTATTGTGTGTAATGAGTTCTAAGTTAATTATCATAATTTGAGTTACTTTAAAAACATATCTCTTTGAAAAATAAAAATAAAAATAAAAAATATCCAACCTGAGAATTTTCATTGTAATATGACAAACTATCGGACCACCCCTAAGATTTTGTTATTCAATTTTTAATGTATTGTTTCAAAATCCAAGCTTTGGTTGGGAGAGATGAATCTCCGGTAAGTTAAGTTGGAACAGTTCATTGGCCTACCAAAAGTGGAGTTGTTGGTGGTCTATTAGGGTTTATCCGGAAAATATAGACTTAAAAATAATATTTGATAATTATAATCATTAATATTATTGTGGGTCCCAGCATTTATTAGAACTCACTATTTATTCAATAGTTGAGATTATCAAGTCTAGTTTTTATATCCATCTAACATTACTTATTTCTTTTTTTTGCTGGTGGTCCTGATTTTCTTGTATATTACCAAGGTAATTGTATTAGATCTTTCCATTTTTCTTTTAAAAATGAGACAGTGAGCAAAATTCGAATACTCTTGACTGTTGAATCAAACAAAAAAAATACCATGTAATTAGTTTTTATATATTTACAATGTGTTGAATCATGTATATTTTAAATTCAAATGTGCAATAATTCAGGTAGCTACTAGTATGGAAAAAGAATATTTCTTCCATGCACGCACGCACACACATTTAAGAATAATTTGTCTTATGAAAGAAGCCACTTCATGTACACGCACTCCTTGATTGATACCCTCCTCAATGCCGCCCAATTGCCAGTAATTTGTCCAGATGTGAGACATTATGTACATATATGTGTGTGAGCGCGCTCGCGCTTTCATCTACTAATATCAACGGATTGTTCTAACAACACCACCATTCCAACACATAACATGCTACATTAATTAATTAATACAACTTGCCGGATCATTTAATTTGCTAGCTCGTGTGAACTTTCATTTTTTTAATTTTAAATTATTGTTAAAATTGATAATTAAACCAACTTACTTGGGTTCAGCTTAAGTTCAGTGCTCGACTCGTTTATATATAAGTAATTGAATTCTGTTCAAATTTAGCTCGGTTTAGGCTCTACTCAATTTTTAAACGAAGTGAATTTGAATAATTTTTCACATTCATTAAAAAAAAATAAGCGCGATAGACTCGGTTTGATTATTAATCCTAAATATAGTCATTGAAGTAATTGTGAGTTTCAGTATTAAATAAAATTCACTTTTAATTTAACAGTTCTAGTTGATTAGATATTCAAATTAAGTTTAAATAATATTTTTCTTGGTAACAAGTAATGACATATGCTCGAGGTGGCACGATGAATGATTCCAAACGTGGGATTTGTTTTTGATGCCATGTGGCATACGATGTACACATTTACGTGTGTATTTTGCAATCAATAAATAATTCATGTATATTACAATATAGTGACATTTTATATCAATTTTATAAGTTTTTTTTTGTTGATTAAAAAAAGGGTAGGCACAAGAAAGAGTGTCCAATGATCACTCTGTGTTAGATCCTCACCGGTGCGACCATAAGTCTCCTGACCGCGCCTCAAATGTCTCTCGGGATCAGACCTAACTAGGCTAGTGTTATCCCCTTAGCTCGTTGGCGGCATTGGCATAAGACAGTCTCGTCCAAAGGGGCTAATACCTTAGCCAAATTGGCAGAAGTTTCATGCATGGCTAAAGGAGGCAGTCTATGCACATGGGCACGTAGACACAAGTTAGCATGCAAGGAAGGTAGTCAGGTGGCTTGAATTATAGGGCAATACTAGCTTGGAGGACTAAGCCATGGGCTGGGCCATGACTAGGCACGAATGCAATATAATCAAATGTTGAGGGCTCATGAGAAATGCACATGCACAACATATGAGGACGTTGGGCATGTGGCCTACAAATGATGGCAGTTCAGTGCAGTTGCTGACAGGTGCACAACATGTAATAGTCTCTATCATGTGCACACAACATGTAGAGAAGTTGCAGATAGTTGCTGGCTGGGTCAGCAACCAATTGCAACTGCCTCTACCATGATCAACAATGGAGGGAGTGGCTGAAGGTGGTCAGCCATTCTCAGCAGATTTTGTGGGCGAATTTGAATTATATGTAGTTGCCTAGGTGGTTAGACTTGTAACTAACACCCATAATGTTTTAAATAGGCATGTCTAGGTCTGCAGTGCAACTAAGAAAGTTGGACACGTTTTTGTAAACAGACCCAAGACTGTGTTTCCTTGTACTTTGCTGAGAAAGAAAGGTTTGGCCTTTCACCTGTAAAGCTTGTGTGTTTTGTGAGTTGCTTGCTTGTCCCTACTCTGTTCCTATGTGCATTTCTATAAGTGTTTTGAGTGTTTGACTGAGACTGAGTATTGGATCTCAGTACCATCACGAGGCAAAAATTTGGCCCCGTGACAATTGGTATCAGAGCTTCAGTTTGGGATCATGGCTGCTGAAAACGCTACTAAATTGCGAGAACGTGTGTCCCGTCTCGAAGATTTTCTAGGCGCTCCTAAAATTAATGTTGCAACTAGCATGGTTGTGTAGATGGAACAACATGCTATTCAGATTGCTGATTTACAGATGGCTTTTGATAGCTATGTATTCAACACCGATGCGAAGCTTACAACGATGATGGAGGATATTCTGTCCCTCACTGACGCTGTCAAAAACAATCTGAAGGACTTGAAGACGAAATGTCTCTGGTGAAGAGGGCCATGAATTCTCGACCTACATTGGGTGAGACGTCTTCAAAAATCAAAGTTCCAGAACCAAAGGTCTTTAGAGGCAATCGAAGCGCCAAAGATCTGGAAAATTTCTTGTGGGATATGGAACAGTATTTTAAAGCTGCTCATGTGCATGCTGGAGAGAAAGTTACAATCACCAGTATGTATCTCTCTGGTGACGCAAAGTTATGATGGTGGACCCGAAATGAGGACGATGCATCTGCTGGACGTCCAAAAATTGAGACATGGGAGACCCTAAAAAAGGAATTAAATGATCAATTCCTCCCTAGCAATACGACCTGGATTGCTAAGGATCCACTCAAAAAGTTAAATCACACCGGAACTGTTCATGATTACGTGAAGGAGTTCAGTTCGTTGATGCTGGATATCAAGAACATGTCAGAGGAAGACAAACTCTTCAACTTCATGTCCGGACTGCAAGGCTGGGCACAGGCCAAGTTGCAGAGGCAGGGGGTATGTGATCTGCCCACTGCCATTGCTACTGCAAGCAGCCTTGTTAACTTCAAATTGGGCGGCAGTCAAGGCCCTTCTGAGAAGAAAAAGAAGAATGGTGGCGGCAAGAAAGATAAGGCTGACACTTTCAAAGACGTAAAGAATGTGGATTGGAAGAAAAAGAAGAACGTTGCTGACTCTAACAAGCCAATCAATAGCCAGAAGAAGAAAGTTTTTGATTTTGGCTGTTTTCTCTACGGTGGTCCCTATCGTGTAAATAATTGACCCAAGAGGGAGAAGCTGAGTGCCCTCATTGCTGCAAGTAGGGATAATAGTGATGATGACTGCCTCACCCAAGTTTACCCTCTCTAGTTACTGAACTCAATTGTTGTGGGCAAAGTTCAGCAACCCCGCAAAGGCCTTATGTTTGTGCAAGCTTGGGTGAATGGTAAGGAAATTCTAGTCATGGTGGATACGAAAGCCACCTACAATTTCGTTGCCCAGAGAGAGGTGGGAAAATTCAATCTGCAGTTGTCTGAAAATGCTAGCAAGCTAAAGGCAGTAAATTGTAAAGTAATGCCGGTGCGTGGCATTGTAGAAATATGTCTGAAGATGGGTCTGTGGAAAGGCCAAGTGAGCTTGATGGCTATGCCATTGGATGATTTTAATTTCATCCTAGGGAATGAATTCTTTATCAAAGCGAAGGTGGCTTGAATGGAGTGCTGATCATGGATGAGAAAACACCCTACTTTGTGCCTGCAGCCATGACAAACCAAAACAAGAAAGAAGGCAAGTGGAAGATGGAGATGTTGTCCGCTATGCAAGTGAAAACTGGGCTAAAGAAGGCGAGATGACATACCTCGCAGCTTTGGTGGAGATTAAACCAGATGTACTAGTTGCAATACCAGATGCAGTGGCGGATGTATTGGGAGAATTACTAATGTTATGCCCCTAGAACTCCCTAAAAGCTGTCAACCCAGACAAGCAATTGACCACAAGATCAAGTTGGAGCCTCGTGCTAAGCCTCCAGCTCGTGCCCTTTACCGGATGTCGTCAATGGAACTGGTAGAATTGGGGGAAGCAGTTAAATGAATTGCTAGAATATGGAAGTATGAAGCCATTCAAGGTGTCATATGGAGTCCATGTTCTGTTCTAGAAGAAACAAAATGACTCCCTGTGTATGTGCATTGACTATCGAGCCTTGAACAAGGTAACCATTTTTTTTTTTCATAAGAACAAGTATTCTGTTCCCAATGTTGTTGATATGTTCGACAGACTGTCCAAGTCAACCTTCTACACGAAGCTGGATCTCAAGACTGGGTACTGACAAGTTAGGATTACAGAGGGAGACGAGTCTAAGACTGCGTGTGACACCCTATGGCTCTTTTGAATTCCTTGTAATGCCGTTTGGGCTCACCAATGCCCCTATAACTTTCTACAATTTAATGAATAATTTTTTTTATGAGTACATCGATGTCTTTGTAGTTGTTTACTTTGACGAAATTGTGATTTATAGTGAGACGTTGGAGGATGACATAAATCATTTGAGGGCGGTGTTTTCACGACTTAGAGAACACCAACAGTATGTCAAGAACGACAAATACGAATTCTGTAGCCAAGGAGTGATATTCTTGGGACACTGGATTAGCAAAGGCCAGACCTGAATGGATGAGAGGAAGGTGAAGACAATTGTTGATTGACATGCACCAACCAAAGTGTATGAATTACAGTCGTTCTTTGGCCTAGCCAACT